AATTCACCTTTCCTTGCATAGCCTCTGGGAATGGTCTATCTTATGTTTGATGCCCATAAATATGGCCAAGTGCTCTGTTCTCCGAATCCGAACTGCTAATCCTCTCACCCCATATGTTGTCGGCGGTGGTGAAATCATTGTTGTCACTCAGCAGGTTGATTTAGTGGTCGTCCACTCATCAGCACTTCATTCTGGCGATAATTGGAAGAAAGCTGCTTGTCGGAGGTTTCCTATGATGTGGTTTATCCGCCGCTCTTTGCCAATCCTAACGGCCAATTTGTTTGTGAAGCTATTCTCGGCATTCATCAGACCCGACGTGGACTATTGTATTCAGGCTTGTCCACCATATCTTAACCGAGACAAAACGAACTTGGAGAGAGTGTTACGTGTGGGCACTCGATTATTGCAGGGTCTACAGGGACAGACTTATCCTGAACGCTTGCTTAGTTTGGGGATGTACTCAATGCAATACTGAAGGATAAGAGGGGATTTGATTCTCACTTATCGTATTTTGACGGATAAGATTGATCCGGACTTGTCAGGGCTATTTAGTTACGTAGCGTTACCTAATCTCCGCGGTCACCCACTGAAACTGCATAAACCACGGTCTGAGAGGATTAGGACGGAAACTCATCTGTCCCGCTGAGTTACAGACCACTGGAATTCGCTTCCGGATCACGTGGTTAGGGAACCTACGGTAAAGGGTTTTGCGCGCCAGCTCGATGCCCCTGGGTGGCAACACCAAACCTTTCTTTTTTACTAACTCATATTCAATTTTCAGTTCCTTTTTAATAACTCAAATATCTTGGTATTCTACTTGCTTAGTTCTTTCCACTTTCTCCTTTTGCGTTCTGAGTTTACTTTTTTCTCTTTCTTACTTCACGTAACCGGCCCAGCAGGGACTGCTAGGGCAGGATACGTGGGCATTAATTGGTTGGACAGGGTGTGATGCGGTCTTTGTTTTACGTCCATCAATATTTTAAAGTCTGTCAACTCCTGGTTCAACGACCCGCTGAAGAAGGAACACTCACGGGATAATCCTATTGTTTCATTTTCTCTTGAACTTGAATTTGTGTCACATTTCGCTCACTAGCCGTACAGTGCTCTGAATGTGACGGCCGGATGCATATCGCTTGTTGTGGCATCGGTCCAGATCAGTACGAATCACTACTGCTGATGACTACTCCAGCTATTATCTTCTTCTGTGATGTCTGCCGTACCTCGTTAGATAACAGACGTCTTGTGAATGGGCTGTCCTTGCTCAGCCCTCACCCCCTCCAACGAAACCCAATGCACTCGCCACCCAGGTCCCCCTGATTACTCCTAATTCTCCCCTTCTGCCTCCGCACCCACCCCCCCCACAAGTAAGCAAAGTCGTGTGCCGTCTGATTATTTCTTGTAGACATTGGCATACGTCCATCACTGTGAGCCCAAGACCAAGATATACGCTGCGGTTGTAAGGGTAAGCACCACCGCTTCTGGCTATGTATAACGCTAAGACTAAGTCAAAGTCTAAATCCAAACCTTACTTCTCTCAGTCCCAGTTCAAAGCTATTCTTGACAAGCTTAACCAGTTGAAAACGCTGATCAAAGACAGCGCAAATCCTCCTCAACCACAGATCCCCAGGCGTGCCCAACCACCCTCCCGTGACCGATGTCTCATTATCATGAACGCGCCTGAATCGACCAAAGGTCCTCCAGCCGGAAGGATATTAGACACCCAAGTGTTCATTAAATGACTAATTATTTTATTCGATGAAGGCGAACAGTGAGTCAACATTATCTCAATCTTCCGCTTGGTTAGGAAACAAAGCTCGCCCCTTACGGTTTGTGCCAAGACGAGGAAGAATGTCAGCGCCATCTCCGACGAACCACGTCTCAAACTCGAGTCGTCTTATGTGCTGAGACATATCTCTCCGGAGGATCGGATCAAAGTGACAAAAGCTGTTGAGGAGTTGAGGACCCGTCAGACGAGTGTGAGACTGACCTTCACATCGTGGATTTTCGCGTAGTTCGGAAAACTCCGAGAACCCGTTGGAGGCTGATTTTCGTCACCCCAGAACAGTGACACAAAAGAACGGATTGCGTATGCTGTTCGCCAATGTACTCAGTCTGCGAAATAAACTTGATGAGATCCAGGTGTTTGTCCTGACTTAGTGGCTTTCACCGAAACATGGTTATTCCCAGACATCATTGACTCTGAAGTGTCCATCCCTGGATACCACCTTTCTCGGGCCGATCGTCATGGGGGGAAGTCGGGAGGCGGCGTAATACTCTGCTGGAGGGCGGATCTGAAGGCCCATCTAGTTGAGGTCTCCTGTGACAATGACGGTGATTCCGATGCCCTTTGGTGCCGCATTCATGACGGATGCAGATCTTCCTTGATTGGTGTCATATACAGAGCGCTACTGTGCGCTAGAGCTCGTCTGTTGGAATTGATCAGGAAGCACGGTGCAGGAAAGGATTTCCTTATCGTGGGAGATTTCAATGCCCCTAATATCGACTGCGACCTACTTCTTTGCAATTTTTCACCTGATTACTTTGATGCAGCCTTTCTCAATACCTTCCTCGATTGCGGTCTGTATCAACATGTCTCCATGCCCACCTGTATTTTCGTCGGCTAGTCGCGTCATATCCTGGGTCTTGTGCTCTCCCCAGCGCAGTCAGACGTTGGTAGAAGCGATCATTGTACTGCGTTATCCCAATGGACACGTCGCTTTACCACTGACAACCCATGTGCCGTCCGCCGAAATTTCTGGCTTTCCGATGCTCTTCGTCTTAAAACGACTGCAGGTATTATGAATTGGTGTATTCCCTAACCTCTCAATGCTGTCGGTGCCTGTAATCTTCTGTACTCCAAGCTGACGTCACTCATTAAACAAGTTGTCTCCACCTCCAAAAAACGACCACTTTGTAAAGGCCTTCCGTGGATTGCTCGTGAATTGAGATCCCTGATGAACAGAAGACGGATGTTGTCGGATCGGCTCAGGCTCACACGATCAGAGCAGGACTACGTCGGTTACAAAACGGTTAGAAATGCTTGTACCATGAAAAAACGTGAGAAACATCAATAATACAAACTCTCCCTAGTCACACTCTAGAACGACTCTTAAGACACTCTTTTACTACCTCGAACGGAGCACCAGAGCTGGCAGTTGTATCCTTGCCCTGTGTTCCTGTGAGCATGGGGATCCTGTTCACGAAGATACTAACAAAGCCAGCCTCTTGGCGCGGCAATATACTTCAATGTACTCCACAGCAGCGTCGTTCTCTGACAGTTCTGTGTGCACTCTCCCTTCTCTGTTAGAGCACGTCGATATTAACCCTGACGTCGTGTTGAAACTTCTCTGTGATTTGGATCCTTACTCATCGCCTGGTCCTGACAGCTTGCACCCCTTGTTCGTTAAGACTGTTGCCCAGTACATTGCCGCACCTATCTCGCAGGTCTTCTGTCGATCGTTTCAGTCCGGACTTCTCCCGACCGCTTGGAAGATGGGCATCATCAAGCTCATATACAAAGGAGGGAACCGGCAAGATCCAGCTAGCTACCGACCCATTTGCCTTACATCGATAGTGTGCAAAATCATGGAACAGGTCCTGAAACGGTCACTTCGCCTTCATCTCCAGAGGTCAGATCTGATATACTACTGTGCCCAGCACGATTTTCGCAAAGCTCGCTCCTGCTCTACCAACTTGCGTGTGGCTAAAGAGAAATGGACAAGTTCATTGGGACGCGTGTATATGGTGTTCGTGGATTTCAGTAAGCCTTTTGGTAAGGTTCCTCATAATCAGCGTCCCTTCAAACCCCGAGGAATCAGCGTCACTGAAAACTTTCTTGGATCTCCGATTTCCTGCACGGTTGCTCCATGCTGGTGAGAGTGAACGAAACGTATTCCGATTCTGTACATATGACCAGCGGTGTCCCACAGGGCTCCGTCCTCGGCCCCGAACTCTTCAACATATTAACGATCTACCATCTGAGCTTCAATCGGATTGCTTGATTTATGCGGATGATCACAAGAGATGCTCGATCATAATTGGTCGATTTAGTGGCGCTTATCCATTAATCAAGATAATTGTTCCGTCCTGCCTATTGACACTCCTGAACCATTCGGCGCTTACCGCACAGGTGGTTTCTTGCTCAAAAATGTCACTTCAGTAAGTGATCCAAAGAGCCTTCTGATGCCGGAGCTCTTTAGACTCCTGTGTACCTCGCATATGCGCCCGATTCTAGAATACGGCCTTCCTGCTGCCTACCCGCTTACCGAATTTGAGCGTGACATGATTGAAAAGGTCCAACGGCGTGGATCGAAGCCCATCTCCGAGTTACGTGACCTGCGTTATCCCCTTCGGCTTCGACATTTGAATCCGTTTTCTTTGGATTATCGTCGCCGTCGAGTGGATTTGATTTTTACCCGACATATCCTCAGGGGAGAGCTAGGGTGTTGCCGGAATTCTTCCACCTCAACGTTCGGAGTTCGACTTGAGGCCACCGATGGAAAATATTCAAACCAAGGAGGATCAAAGCACGATCCATTCTTGCTCTATCCACTCTCGTTGTAAATGACTAGAACCGGTTACCGCAGCCCGTCGCTGATGCGCAGACGGAGAACTGCTTCAAACGACTACTTGATTCCCACCTGTTGAATATACCGGGATTGTGTTGCTTCAGCTACGAGTGCAACGGCCTCTCTGGAGTTACCGTTGCGCAATGACGCGAGCATCCCAGAAATGATCGGGAAGCGATGGAGCTGACAATGGGTCTTCCTCCTGCTCTCTGCTACCCAATGAACCTGCGCGTGCATTGTGCATTGCACCTTTGGTTATCACGGCTTGCTTCTCATCTATCACAGTTCGAGCGTTTTCTCTATAAGCTTTGTGTCGAAAGTGTTTAGTTAACACTGTACAGATATTGGACTCTGTGTTTTGTTGCTATTTCTACGAGCGTTCTATTTCTATCGACCGAATTCCGCTTGCAAACATTTTCACTTCTCACAGGCTGTCTAGAATCATAGTTTGACCATTCTCGTGTTGTGTGACAGGAACTTTTTCTTCGCTGATATACTAGTTGTCGGATCTATTTGCTGGCACTGTTCAATCCATGCAGCAAAATTACTTTCATCGATTCCCTACTTCACCTCTACCAGCACGGCTGACGTCACCACGCCCGGTCTGGTTCTTCTACCGATAAGCAACCCAGGTTTCCTGACACTTCGACCCAAATTGCTGTTTTTGACTTGTTGCTGACTCGAGTGTGGATCCATACCGCTAATTGCTTCAAATCTCTTTCCCGGTGGGTTTGTTCCGGTATATTTTTATTGCTTTTATTGGTACCTGGCCACAACTAAATTGTGACCTCAATAATCGCTGATACCCTTGATTCATTTGCACTGATCTTGACTTCTCAGGTACAGTGTGGTGAATATACGTGTAACACCGTAGTCACAGGAGGAATTCAGTGCGATAGCTGCTTATTCTGGTACCATAATACCTGTTCTAGGTTAGATCAGGATTGCATTGCGTTATTCCAAATTGAAGTGAGTGTTTTCATTGTGTTTGTCTAGCTGACTGTTGCTCCCGTATAATGCGTGACCGATAGGTTGACCAACATGCTGGTTATGATGAGTGTATTTGCAAAGGCAGCAGAACAGTTTATCCAAGATCAGTGACCCCTTATCGACATGTTGAGAGTGCGATTTGAGATGCTATCATCTCTGGAATATTTTATCCGAGGCGCTGGAATTGCAATGGGTCGCCAGAGGAATGTACTTATTCATAATCATGAGGATCCGGTAGTACGAGAGGCTAAAATTAGAGGGGATTTAGATAAAAGTTGGGTGCAAGCTATTCTCCGAATTGCCGACATACCATTACACGTTGGTATCAAGAGGATTCGCAGAGTCGGTCGTTGGAGGGATGCCGAAGCACTGAGTCATAGGGGTCGTGCAAGGGCGGTGTTGGTGGAATTCGAGACCCCGCTTCACCGGGATTTGCTGCTTAGCCGAGCTGGTGTAATAGCAAATGATACTAAAGGTCGATATCACGCAGCACCGGACACAGCAGTTTCATAGGAATCGTGTAGGTGAACTTGGGGGGGGGGATACGAACGACCCACAGCCAAGCTGGTGATCACCCTCATTTAGCAACCCCCGTCTACAAAATGGATCGAAACCCTTTTCCTGTTGAAAAAATTGAAGATCGTATTCCTAATGTGACTGCTGAACGTGTGGAGGAATTAGAAGGTGCGATTGCATTATCGGCAGGAGAAAATACACCTGATAAAGTAGACTTGAACACCGTGGCTGGATGTGGGCAGTCGAAATCATCTGATGTTGCCGATCCTGATGCAATAGAAATGACATCTTCAACTGTGGACAGCTCTTCAGTAGAGGGTACAAAGAGAAGTCACTTAACTGAAGGCAAAGGTGCCCATATTGGTAAAAAAAAGTGACTAGCATGGTCCAACCTATTTAAAAGGCAACAAAGAAAACAGTCGGTGAACGAACCAAAAAAGTACCTCTGTTGCAGCTGTCAAAGCAGAACTCATTCTGTGGCGTTCTGCTGTTATACTGATCCAGAGAGTCGGGCAACTGAGGTAGGCAATCGTCTTGAAAACGTCTCAAAAATGTGCTATCCCCTCAGGCGTAAGACCCGAGGGGAAGCTTACAGATTTGATAGATTAACATTTCGATTGCTCTCGTCAGTCGCTACGCAATACAGGCAGAAAAAACACGCAATATATAGGGTCCACACTTAGTAACATAGATAAGCAGATAAAAATGATGGGAATGACGTAATCAGGACCAAGGCAATCTAATTGATTGTCTCAGTTGTTTCTGGGCACAGAGTATGGCACACTTCAACCTTATCAGTAGCGCCTCTCCATTTGCCAACAACGTCGGGTTCCTGTTGCGCAATAGCACCTTGAATGAGTCGATTGGGTTCACCTGGTGGCGAGTCAGCAAGTGGTGTTTGGAGATAGACGAGGCAGGGTTCAAATTCATTCTTTGTTTCGCTCCGCCTTGGTTAGACAACAACTGCCTTAGCCACAATGGGAAATGTTCCGCCACCCTTTGAGCTAGCCGGCGACCAGTTTTGCCTATGTAAGTGTCACCGCAACTGCAAGTGAACTGGTAGATGATGTTAGAGGCCGAACTGATTGGCGCGCTGCTCGAACGGATGTGGAGAGGAATCCTTCGTGTGGTGTGAATAAGTCGTAGTTGGGCGGTAGAGTAAGTGCGCATTAGAGCGGACCTGAGCTTGTGACCAACTTCATTTGCTAAGTGATCCCCCTTGAAGGGTAAGAACAAGTAAACATTCTTCTCCGCAGTTTGCACGGGCAGCTTCTCCTTGGGGGGTCTGCTATGGGTCTGAATGAATTTCTCCGGATACCCATTAGCTAGCAAACTCCGGTATAAAAACTCTTCTTCAGTCTTGAGTACTTCCGGATTGCATATCCGCCTGGCCCTGTAGAAGAGAGCTTTTACAAGACCGCGCTTGTATGCAACTGGGGCGAAGCTGGAAAAATGTAGGTATTGTCCACCCCAGGTCGCTTTTCTGTACACCGTGCGCTGCAATGTGCCATCGGTCCTTCTCTTGATGAGCACGTCAAGAAACGGCAGTCTGTCTTCTTGTTCCTTCTCCTGTGATACAGAAAGGTTCGGGTGAATTGAGTTTAGGAGGGCAGCAAGACGATCAAAATGTTCACCATTAGTGAAGACGAGAATATCATCTACATAACGCTTGTACAGCTTGGCTTCACCTATGCAGGCAGCAACTTTCCTTTCAATCATACCTAGGAAGATGTCTGCCAGAACTGGTCCCAAAGGACTGCCCATAGCGACGCCGTCAATCTGTTTGTATGCCGTCCCTTCAAACTCAAATCGCACATTCTCAGTACACACCAATATCAAGTCTCGCAGGAACTCTAGTGGAATGCCCACAGAGAGGTTCCGACTCAAAAGAAATTGGCATAGGTCGTCAACCGTTTCACGTAGGGGCACATTCGTGAACAGTGATTCCACGTCTATTGAATACATGAGCTCCGCGTCAAGTGTTGTTCGTTCCAGCATACTAGAACCAAGACCCTGAGCGGCCTTCAAGGTACCCTTGTGAGAGCGGCCAACATTCCTTTCCCTACCGAGGGCCAGAAGCATGTGCCATCTGTCTACAGCTCGGTTCACGCGAGAACAGCTGGAGGTTCTTCCGCTGGGATTGAAATACCGAATACCGCCGAAGAATGTGGACAGGATCCACACACAGATTAATTTCGAATATCTGTACGATCAACTCAGCGACCTATCGCCGAAATCAACGGATGATGCAGGATGGTTTCAGGCAAAATTAGTGGATATCGCGCACCAGTTCCAGAACGCGCCTATTAGTCAGAAGTGTTGCTTGAGATCGGAACACTGTGTTGCAATCAAGGATCTGCAGAAAATGAAAGATGTAATTTTCCTGCAACCGGATAAAGGTACGGGTGTAGTAATAATGGACAAAGCGGATTACACCGCAAAAATGGAGTCGATTCTCGGAGATGGATGCAAGTTTCGTATTGACAAGACGCCGGACAACAATATATTGGTGGAGAAACAAATTACGAGACATCTACAAATTCTTTTGCTGCATGGTTACATCTCCGAGTCACAATATCGGCAGCTAAAACCGGCAGGGACAGAAACACCAAGAATGAGGGGTGCGGCGAAGCTGCACAAGGCGGGAATTCCACTACGACCAATAATGTGTATGAATAACTCACCCTACCACAAAGTAGCCCGGTGGTTAGCAAAGCTCCTAGAACCCGTGCGTAAGCTCCTGAGCACGCATTGTTTGAAAGACTCCTTTGAATTGGTGAATATACTGGAACGAACAACACTTGACGCGGAGCTCATGTATTCAATAGACGTGGAATCACTGTTCACGAATGTGCCCCTACGTGAAACGGTTGACGACCTATGCCAATTTCTTTTGAGTCGGAACCTCTCTGTGGGCATTCCACTAGAGTTCTTGCGAGACTTGATATTGGTGTGTACTGAGAATGTGCGATTTGAGTTTGAAGGGACGGCATACAAACAGATTGACGGCGTCGCTATGGGCAGTCCTTTGGGACCAGTTCTGGCAGACATCTTCCTAGGTATGATTGAAAGGAAAGTTGCTGCCTGCATAGGTGAAGCCAAGCTGTACAAGTGTTATGTAGATGATATTCTCGTCTTCACTAATGGTGAACATTTTGATCGTCTTGCTGCCCTCCTAAACTCAATTCACCCGAACCTTTCTGTATCACAGGAGAAGGAACAAGAAGACAGACTGCCGTTTCTTGACGTGCTCATCAAGAGAAGGACCGATGGCACATTGCAGCGCACGGTGTACAGAAAAGCGACCTGGGGTGGACAATACCTACATTTTTCCAGCTTCGCCCCAGTTGCATACAAGCGCGGTCTTGTAAAAGCTCTCTTCTACAGGGCCAGGCGGATATACAATCCGGAAGTACTCAAGACTGAAGAAGAGTTTTTATACCGGAGTTTGCTAGCTAATGGGTATCCGGAGAAATTCATTCAGACCCATAGCAGACCCCCCAAGGAGAAGCTGCCCGTGCAAACTGCGGAGAAGAATGTTTACCTGTTCTTACCCTTCAAGGGGGATCACTTAGCAAATGAAGTTGGTCACAAGCTCAGGTCCGCTCTAATGCGCACTTACTCTACCGCCCAACTACGACTTATTCACACCACACGAAGGATTCCTCTCCACATCCGTTCGAGCAGCGCGCCAATCAGTTCGGCCTCTAACATCATCTACCAGTTCACTTGCAGTTGCGGTGACACTTACATAGGCAAAACCGGTCGCCGGCTAGCTCAAAGGGTGGCGGAACATTTCCCATTGTGGCTAAGGCAGTTGTTGTCTAACCAAGGCGGAGCGAAACAAAGAATGAATTTGAACCCTGCCTCGTCTATCTCCAAACACCACTTGCTGACTCGCCACCAGGTGAACCCAATCGACTCATTCAAGGTGCTATTGCGCAACAGGAACCCGACGTTGTTGGCAAACGGAGAGGCGCTACTGATAAGGTTGAAGTGTGCCATACTCTGTGCCCAGAAACAACTGAGACAATCAATTAGATTGCCTTGGTTCTGATTACGTCATTCCCATCATTTTTATCTGCTTATCTATGTTACTAAGTGTGGACCCTATATATTGCGTGTTTTTTCTGCCTGTATTGCGTAGCGACTGACGAGAGCAATCGAAATGTTAACGTATCGCAACCTCTGTCTTCTTACTGCGTTGATGAAGTGGCTG